AAGCGTCCCTGGAGGATGACGGAGGGAAGCTGCAAGCTCGCCTCTTCATCCACCTGAATACTTTCTCTCCTCCTCGGAGGGAATCGTGGCTTGGGAGGACCGCGCCTCTGCCTTTTCCCTGCACTTGTCACATCCAGCCGCTCTACGTTTCTGCGCTCCTACCTGCGTGTTTGTTCCCCACCCGCAAACACACGTACACGCAAGCCGACACGCGTATCCCTGCGAAGAGGCGGCAAGCGGTCTCCCTAATTCAGTCCCAAGCCCCTAAAAGAACTTTATTTCATCGCGAACGCTCGGGGAGCCCGGGGAGGGGCATCGCTGGGGCAGCGGGGGCAACTCCCGGCCAGCCCGGGGGTGGGGAGAGACGCGAGCTCCACACTCTACCTGAGGCTCGGAGAGGCTGAGGCGGCGAGCTCCTGGGACGCGGCGGCTCATCATCCCCCGGGGAGCGTCCCTGGCCCCGGAACGGCCGCTCTTCGGCCGCGGCCGCAGCTGCGCCCCCTGCGCGGCGAGCGTCGCCTCGTGCGGTGTCCAAAGGGCGCGGAGTGCAGCCGGGGCCCCGAGCTCCTCGCCGCCGCGCCGGGCGGGCTTCCTCGGCTCCCCCGCGGGCAGGCGGCGCTCGCCTCCGCCGGCGCCGGCGCGGGCTCCCGCGCTGCGGAGCGACCCCTGCACTTTCCTTCGCCGCCCTCTCCTACGAGGCGGCGGCCACATCCTCCCCCTGGCTCCTCCGGCGCGCGGCGCGGGGCTCCAGCATCCCCGGGAAGGCACAAGCGCGCGCCCGGCTCGCTCCCTCGGCTCTCGTCCCCCGAGAAGGCAGAGACGGTCGGGGCGGGACCGGGACCGGGACCGGGAGCCCCGAAGAGGGAGCGAGCAAGAGAGTCCCCGCAACAAACTCAAAGCGAAAGGAGCGCGGCGCGGCGGAGCGAGCCCGCTGTGCCGACGGTTGTCTCTCGGCCCCGGGAGAAAGGATCACGCCGGCACAAGGGACCCCGAGCGGGCAGGACCCGCAGAAATCTCCAGAGGCGACGGGCGCAGGCGGCCGTGCATGTATGTGCGCGGGCGCGCGTGAATGCGTGAGCGGAGAGGTGCAAGCGCGCGCCCGCGCGCGCGTTTGAGCGCCTCCTCCCGCTTTGCCTGCCCGGTCCCGCGTCTGCCTTAAGAGCCGGCGCTGCTCTGCAGGTTGATCTTCGCGGTAATGAGGTCTCCAATCTGACTCTTCCCCGCAAATGGAAGCCGGGGCTTCTCGCCCCCCCTCCCCCAGTCCACGGCTCCTCTCCCCCCTTTTCTTGCCTGACACCCTAGAGAGATGTTTACAGTAATGAATTCAGTTGATAGCCATCTCCCTCCCTCCCTCCTTGCCTGCCTCCCTTTCTGGAGTCCCTCCCTCATTTCGAGTTTAAAGAATGCTTGGAAGGCAGGGGCTGCAGCCTGAAAGCTCTCCAAGAAGCAAAGTCGATCTCGGATCTTACAAAAAAGAGAAAAGAACGCTTAACCCACCCTTTACCGAAAGATTATTCAGCTAAAGTGACGGTTTTTCCGGAATTATTATCAGTCCCACCTCACCCTGGCACGACTTTCCCCCGCGTTTCCCTTTTTTATTTTTACGTGCGCATCTGCCAGATAGAATACGGGAAGCAAGAACTGAACGGGATCTTAGTCACTCAGCCTCCAGCTTCTCGGCTGCGAGCGGCGAACGCGAGCATTAGCCGTTTTAATTGCCCCAATAGAGGCTCCCCGACAAAAAAGAGAAAGAAAAAGCACGGGGGGGGGGAGGGCTAAAAGAGACCCTTCCTTCGTAGCTAAGACGTTTTCTTGGCTCTTTGAAAGGCTGCCACCCGCCGCTCAGCCCTCCTAAAAAGGCAACCTTTCGTCCCAGCCCCGAGGAATAAAAGCCACCTGGCTTTATCCTGTGTTTGTCTCCTACCGTCCCGGGGAGCTGATGAACGCTTCGCCTCCATGGGAATAAAAATGGAAAGCAAGCAACTCCCTTCTCTGTGGCAGCATAAATAATAGTCATTAAGGAAGGAAGAGAGAGAGAGAGAGAGATCGTATGGATGCGGCCCACAGTGTGGTTCACCCACCCACAACCACACACACTTCCTTTGAACTTTTTCCTAGCAAAATAAAATCAATAAATATATCCACAAATCTCCGGAAAACGAAGGGATCTGTGCTGCGTTAGCCTAACTTTTCCAAAAGGCTGGAGTAACCCAGGAATGTGCGCGTATGTGTGCATCATCCATCCACATGTCTCTTTCCCTCAAGCCTCATGATGCATTCGGGGTAAACCATTTAAGAAACAGACAAATGAACAACGACGACGAGATCATCTATTCCATGGAGGGCATTTTCTGCTGGTTCTCGCAATTTTATGGTAGGGGAACCTTGTTGTAATGCACAGGGCGGGAGGCGAGAGGCAGGGGGGCTGCATCCGGCTAGATCCTGCTGACCAAGCTAGGCATTATCCAGATCGCATGCCTTACCTAATGTTTAGACCCACAGGTGGAGTTAAAATCGGTGCAACCGGTCGGTCCCATTTGCCCATCTTTAAAGGTCTGAGGCTTTTTTTGAGGGGTGGGAGATTGGCTTAAAGCGTTTAAAATCCCCTTGGGATGGTGTGGTCCCCCGTTTCACGCGGATCATTTCCTCGCACCCCCAACCCCTATAAGCTCAAAACTGAAGTGCCCTGGCACGCGTTTCTCCACCGTGTTTCCATGTGTCGGACTCTCCTACGCACCTTTCCATCACCAGATGACGGCCACGCAAGCTAAGTGATGGCTTGTCGGTGTGGAAAGGCCATCTCATAGATCAAGCGCCTCGGTACTGGCATCTTATTAGACTTTTTAAAAAGCCGTTAAGATGTTGAAGTTCAACACCATGCTTTTTAATAGGGTCCATTCAGACATTCAACTGACACGCATCAACCGTTCAGTGGTAGGGAAACGCGAAGGGTTTCAGCTGCGAAATATGGGCATCCGCGATGGCAGCTGAGCTCAATCACTGGCGCGTGAGCGAACTATCAGGCCCAAGCCTATCAGCACTCCAAGCAAAAGGCCACACTGCCCTATGTCATGGCCCTCCCCGTTCACATGTACAGCAATAAACGTGCTCGTTTCCTTGCCCACCCCCGACTGTCACGTTAGGAGCAATGCGCTAGAAACGGGATGAAGGCATCCGGCGCTATTCCAATATGGCTTAAAGACGCACGCACGCACGCACACGAACGCACTTGCCAACCGGAATATACCGCCCCGAGGAAAAGTGGCGTGCGTTAGCCTCTCCTGGCTGGCCGTCTCCGTGCAGCAGAGAAACTCGACTGGCAAAGCCTAGGAGTAGATTAAGACGCGGGCTCAGCTCAACCAGACACGCCGCTCTATTTCCCCTGGCGCAGCTCAGAAAATGCTTCTCTTTTACATGCGCGCGCGCACGAACACACACACGAACACACATGCACACACGCGGCCGCTGAGTTTACTGAGAGAGGCATGGTAGTCGCCATTCGCCGGATGGTCCGGTCCCGACTGGGTAACCGTGGCCAGCAGTACAAGAATCACACACACACACACACACACAGAGCGCAAGGGGGGGGGGACACACGCACAAACACTTAAAAGTAAAAGGTGCCCGACGCCCGCCCGCTAGAAAAACTAAATCCCTGGAGTGTAGCGATGACCGCAGGAGAGGAAAGCGAGAGGGGGAGGGGAAAGGAATCAAGCCATCCAGATCTTAAACCGAAACGCGGTCAGTCAGCTCGAGGCTGGTACGCACAGCTGGCACCGTGGTGAAATACAGCTTGGGAGCGATCGCCAGTGAAGCCGGAGCTGCTGGGCATGAAGTTTTCCTTCCGTCGTGCTCAGTAGGAGGAAGGAAAGAAACCAGTAGCCTCGAAGGAGTTAAAAATAACCCTAAAGCGCGAGCGCCCCTCTTCTGCGGAGGCGAGAGGGAGCCGTTTGTGAGACAGTGATTGACTGGCGGGGGGCGGTAGAATACAGGGGGGTTATTTACTTCAGCAGTGCATTTGGGTTAAAATGGAGGGAGGGGGCGCCAAGACAGAAGGGGACCGGAAGGACTGGGCCACTCAGCGTCTCCCCTGGACTGCCTCTGGATACTCATTTGGAAGGAGAGTGTGCGCAGGCGAGCGAGCGAGCGAGCGAGCTTATTCGCAGGGGCGCGGGGAGGAAGCCTTCCCACCTTTTTCCAAAAGCCTCGCCAATCATTCGCGCCTCCCGATCCTACCCGTGTTTGCCTGGGAGTAAGTCCCACGGAACTCCCATGGAACTTACTTGCGATTAAGTGCGCCCAGGCTCAGGCTGCGCGGCAAACAGGTGTGGAGCAGGAGAGGAAAAGCCTTGCTCGGCCTTTGCTCGGGTCGTGAAGGCAGGGCGACGTCTCCTTCCCAAAAAAAGATCGGGATCCACGTGGACATTTTCGGGGGGAATCGGAGGGATTCGAAAATAAAACGGGGGGAAGGAAAAAGAAAGCGGGGGGCGGGAGCCTTCTGATGGGAAATTAATTCACTCCAGCACACGCGCGCTTACACGGACCGAGCTTACACAAAACCGAATTGCCACGCTGAGAATCAGTATGACATTGACCAGAAGGGAGACTACGCTGGAGTAAGGGGTTTCAGGACCGCAAGCATCCTTCCCCGCTCGCCCCTCGCGCCCTCTCCCGCACCTCCCAAAGTCTCTTACCGGATATGGGCGATCCCTCCTGCCTTGAGGAGAGATTCCCAGGCACTTCTCCCCATCGCGACCCCCCGCCCGCCCTGCAGCCCCAAGGCATCCACCCGGCTCGCACGCCTCCTGGGTCCTGCTCTCCGAATGCAACTTAAGAGCCCTGGCAGAAGGACGTGTCCCGGGTTCTAGGATTCAGTCCTCAGTCTATTTGCCTACCGCTATTGGTATTATTAGTACCATTAATATTCACATTGATTTTCTAGCAGATGGTGACGGGAAGCACCGGCTGAGGAAAAGAAAAGGCTAGGCAAGGCGGTTTACCTGGCGAAACTGTGGCGGCTCCTCTGCCTCTGGATCTCACCCAAACCCCACTGGGTCAGGAAGGAGGAGAGGGAAGCAGCGCGACTCCTGCATTGTCCTGGTTTAAGGATCACCGCCAAGGGCTGGCTTGGTTCCATAGCTGGCGAGAGCCAGGCTCGTCCTCATCCTCCCCAGCAGCTGCCCCAGCTAGATCGGATCCTCTCTCGGGGAGCGACGAGCAACGGGGAGCTCCGCGAGCCGCCGCCGCTGTCCAGGCGCGCATTCACCCCGGCGAGCGCCCAGCTGCCAGCAAGACGGCGGCGGCTGCACGCGCGCCTCCGTGTGCGCCCTGCCCGCAGATCGCGTCTTCCTCAGCAGCGTGCCCGTCCTCTCGCCGGCGTCCCCGCGGGCGCCGCTCCGGTGCAGGTCGCGCGGCCTAGAGGACCCGGAGGCGCTCGTCTTCCCCGCGTGAGCCTGGCGGATTTCGAGCGGGGGCTGCCGCAGCAGCAGCAGCAGCAGCAGCAGCAGCGCGCCGCGTCGCCTGCCTCGAACAGCGCCTTCCTCGAAACTCCGCCGTCTAGCAAAGAGCGCGAGGCAGCGGCGGGCGCTTAACCCTTTGCGGGCGGGACGCTGAAAGACGAGTCGCGCTGCTGCTGCTGCCGCCGCCGCCGCCGCCGCCGCCGGGAAGGTGGAGCGGGGAGAAGAGGTTTATGTTATGGCTGGCCCCAGAGTGTCTGGAGACGGGCTTGCTGGGCGAGGCGGGGGGGGGGGGCACGCGTGCGTGCAGACGGGGCTGCTTCGGGGGTTAACCCGCTGGCCCTTTTGCAACGCGCTGGGAAAGGCAGGCATGAAGGAGGCTGCGCTCAACGGCGAGCAGGGAGGCGCAGGTTCTAGGTTGGGTTTGGTGCCGCTTTGGCACGAACGGGCCCTGCATGTCAGTTCTCGAGGAGGGGGGTTCTAGAGCAGCGGTTCCACTTTCTCCTTAATCGATTCCGCCCTCCCCCACGGCCCAATGGTCCAGCCCATCCTTCCCACCGTCACCCCCGTCCCCGCTGCACACCATCCCCCTCGGCTGCTGCTGGCTCCAAAGAGATACAGGAAGATGATTGCTCCCCGCAATGGTGTGTGTCTCCCCAGGGCTCTGTGTCAGAACTTAGGAAAGGTATTTTGTGCTCGAGGAAAGACAGAAAGGCACGAGATACACAGGGATCTCGCTTTCCCCCTCTCTCTCCACCAGCCCCTCTGTGTGGATCGCAGGCAACGGAACGTTTCAGTTTGAGAAAATCCCTGCTTACATCTGATTCAGTTTCTTCCATGTGCTTGGAAGGGGAAGTCGGTATAGGCAGCTCCCTCTCTTTCATTCTCTCACTCACTCGGTTTCTTTCTGACAGGATAGTTAGCAGAAATAGTTCGCTCTCTGCTGCAGCGGCGAAGCTGCGAAGGATGTTGCCAAGTTGTGCACGGCAAACAAAGAGCGCCTGAGTTACATCGCTAAGGATGAGATCAGGAAAACCGGGGCTGTTCTCTTCTGCCTTCCTGCTCTCACACGTGGAATACTAAAGAGAGAGAGAGAGAGAGAGAGAGAGAGAGAGAGAGAGAGAGAGAGAGGTGCCTGAGGCAGGGAGACGGAAGAAAAGGGAGAGCCAAGATCCAGTTGCCTTTCCCAGCGGTCCCCAAACTGCTCGTGTGCAGGGCGAAAGGACAGAGACCAAAGGCCGGCCTTGGCGAAAACCTCGGAACCGCTTCCGCCGGGTCCTCAAGGTAACTTAGACCCGTGAGAACGCATGGCAGGGCAGGACGCAGAGAGCGCTGGGGGTCCTTCCGGAGTAACTGCGTGGGGGACGGCTGCTCCAGTCTGGCTCCTTCCAGCAGGTATTAAAACCCGGATTACACGAGATTAAAGGCAGACAGGGCGGGGTGGCTGGCTGGGAACTGGTCCAGGCAAAGAAAGCATCTCCTCGGGGGGAATATAAAACCGCCCCTTCTTTCTTCTATTGCGGACGCGGCGATGCGCGCTTGCCGTGCTCGCTGGGGCTCCAGAGCGCGCCTCGAGAATGGCTCGTGATCGTCCGGCCCCCGTCGCGGAGGCCGCGGAAAGACGGGTCGGGGGGGCGCGGGGGGGGCGGGAGGCGTGAACATCCCGGTGGCCGCGCGAGAGGAGCGCGCCGGGCCGAGCGGCGGCGAGTCGCCCTGTAAATCCCTCGGCTTAGCCAAGGTGGCAGCAGAGGCTCGGCAGAGGCGGCCGCGGAGCGTTCGCGACCGGCGGCCGCGCGAAGGGGGGGAGCCGCGGGCGCCGAGCCGCTTCCCCCAACGCGCGCCCGCCTCGCTTCTCCTCGCGCTCGGGTGGATTTACTCCGCTACCCCCGCCCCCCCCGAATTATTAATCCTGGTTCTCGTCTGATGACTTCGACTTTAAACACTGCTTTAAAAACAGGAGAGGAGGAGGAGCGCGGGGTGTTTTAAATTTTTTCATTCTCAGCAACGTTTCCGTCGTGGGAAAGGGAGCCAGCCTGGATGGCGCAGCGAACCCAGGCAAGCAGCATTCTGAAATTCAGAAATGGGCCTAGAACTGAGGGGTGCCAGGTGAAGGATTCACATGTATCTCTGCGTGTTAGGAGTTGCTGTGAACATCTGCTTGCAGTCCTGTCTGGATGCAGGCCCTTAATGTTCCATGCACTTTGCTCCCAAGGAGGGGATGCTCCTAGCCTAAAATGCTTCTTTCATTTTTAAAAATGAAAGTTAATCCCATTTATTCAAGGGGACTCAATCCCGAGGAAGTGTTCTCAAATTTTCTGCCCACAAAAGATAATGCTGCTAGTCCCTATGGGGTAAAATATGTGTCCATGGGGATAGAGTTTGGGATAGTAGGTGTACACAGCTAAACACCTCCTTTTGACAAAAAGAGGGGAGATAGAAGTACATTTCAGCAGGAAGCATGCAACTTTCCGAAAACTAGCAACTCGTTGCTTTTCCAGTGATTTCAGTTGGGCTTAATCCAAAATCAGAGTGTATAGATTTGCAGCCTTACTCTGAGTATGGATGTTCACTGCCAGTATGCATGGTTCCTTGGAAGTAATTCCCATTGGATCAGTAGGATTTCTTCTGAAATATAACAAACATTTAATGAAAGCAACATGTTTGGTGAAATCAAGGAGCTTTGTTGTAGGGAAAAGGACCGTTGACTTCCTTCTAAAAGACTAAACAGGCACCCCCATGGGCACATTTCCTAAAGCATTCTTTTAAAACGAAAATGGTTCAATAAGCATCGTGTTTTGCCCTTCCTCATAAGGCACCTTATCCAGAATGTTTGTGATTCTGCGTGACTACAGAAACTTTCCCTCTCTGAGACTGAGACATGCATATACCCAGACAATATTTAGCACTGAGCTTGACATTCCACTTCCAAAGCAGCTAAATGTACATTTTATTTTATTATTTTATTTTATTTTTTGAACTAACTTTCTATTCCTTATGGAAATAGGAGGAAACTGTGCAGGAAAAAACCCATTTGACAAATCTCAGAAGCCAGAATGAAATTTCTAGGAGTCGGGGATAAGAAATTTCACTACCTTGCAGAGAACCTCATGTCACATGTGAAGACTGAATGAACTGACCTCTTTCCATATATGTCCTTTTGATGTATTGACCTCTTCAGAGGCAGCTATTTTATGAGTATTCCTGCCTGTTGTTGCAGGTAGAATGGAGAAAGATAACAACTTGGCCCTTTGTTGTGGCGGGACTCTGCTTGGGAAACTGAGTCCTAGAAAGTTTGCTATTTTTCCTACTGGTATTTAAAAGCAAGTGAAGATAGTTTTATTCCAGAGGGCATTTATCCTAAACAGCTTATTCATTTTGACTTGTAAATCATAGCTTTTAATCTCTACGACACTTTGTGATGTTTTATAGCTGCTGTTTTTGTCTGAGGTTGATATTTATTGCAGTTTTATAGTTTAGCAACATCATTGTACGCATGTTTACTTAAAAGCAAGTTCTACTGAATTCACTGGGGCTTACTTTCAGGCAAGAGGATATTCTATTGCAGCCTAAATTTCTATATTTTAAACTGTTCAAAGAGGAGCACCATGGAGTAATATTTATCTGCCGATAAAACAAAAACACAAAATGAATTATGCCTAGTTTATATAACCTGCCAAATGAGGCTTTTGACCCATTTATGCCCATATTTTTGTTTTCCTCTCTTGCAAGGAAACCAAGATGGCCAACATCTTCCTCCTCCTCCTCTTCTCCACTTTATTCACACAACAACCTTGTGAGGTAGGTTAAGTTGACAGTCAGTGACTGGCCTGAAGTCACCTAGTGAGCTTCATGGCTGAGTATGAGTCAGAAGCTGGATCTCTGCTATCAAGTCCAGCATGCTCACCACTACACCACACTGGCCTGAAATACTTCATGTAGAAATGGGAGATGAACACAGAGCCCTGGCAGTAACCAATACAAGCAGCAACCCTATTCAAAGTCAGTCTGTCCATCTCACCATAGTTCCACACAAAAGTTCCTTCTTAGCCATACTTAGGGATGCCAAGAGATAGAACCTGAGGCTTTTTGGTTGCCAAGCGTGCTCTGCTACCAAGCAAGTGCCCTGGCTCACATCCCTCCCAGCAGGCACCCACGTCACTCATGTAATCATATTTACACACTAGTGAGAAAGTAGATGGTGTACAGGAGATGAGATGCATGAAAAATGGAGACTGAAACCAGGTAACATGGGAAGCAGATAGCAAACATCTCCCCCCTCTCCCCGCCCATCCCCTTCTAAAGCGGACTAACTGCTTAAGTGGGATTCCTGCCTTAACAAGGAGCAAAAGGTAAGGAGAAGTAATGGGATTCCTCTCAGGGCTATGTATAATGATCTCTGGAAGTCAATGAGTATTTTCATTTACTTGAACGCATTGCAAAATGAACAAGAATGGTAATACTTTGCCATGAGGAGTGCTTTAAAATGCAGTTAAGTGCCTTAAATCAGGCCATTCTTTGTGCAACTGGCTGGAAGAACATTATGATCATGAAGAGACCATGGCATATGGTCATTCTGATCTATCTGGGCCTTCTCAGTACAGCAATTCTTGTTCTTCCCCTTTGCAGTGGGGCCTGGGTTTGCTCTCTGTTTTTGTCTCTCAGTATCTGCTGTCCAGT